ATGAGTTTTGACCATGTAAAAAAATCCTGATGTTTACTTTTTGCGGATGATTTTTATTGGTGGATCAATTTAGAAAGTGAAAAAATAGTATTTTTATTTATAAAATCTTAGTGTTCAGCTGTTGATAATTTAGCTGGTAGCTGATGGTTTGTGAGATTATTCTATTGGTTATTTTTAAATGATGTTGCTATTGTATGACAGATACACAAAGATTATTCTATTGTTTCTTTATTGCTGATCTAATGCAGTTTTGATCCAAGACATAGTAAATGTATTGAAATATTGTTGTGAGATTAATCTAAAGGAAGAACATTCATTTGGTTTTGGTGTAGTTCTGTGTTGAATTTTTGTCAATGGACATGGATATGATACGAGTGGTTGTTGCCAGTCAGCAGTGTTTTGAGTTTTGACCATGTTAAAAAAACCTGATGTTTACTTTTTGCGGATGTTTTTTATTGGTGGATCAATTTGGTAATGCTGTTTGTGTCTGGTTTCTTAAGGTGAGAAAGGTTGACATGCTGGAAGGTGTGTCTATTGTTCGGTCTGAAAAGGTCAAGGATGAACTCGTCCTAGATGGCAACGACATTGAACTTGTCTCCCGGTCTGCTGCTTTGATTAATCAGGTTTGTGTGTGCGATGATGCTTGCGTACCTGAATGTGCACTTCTGTATCTGAATTTATTCTTTTGTTCAAAAAACTTTGGTGCACCTTATTTTATAGATGAATCATGCATGCCCAGCAACTTCCATTTTTCTTCATTTGCTGAAAAAGTTTTTTCTTTGAACAGAAATGTCACGTGAAGAACAAGGATATCCGCAAATTTCTTGATGGGATCTATGTGAGTGAGAAGGGAACTGTTTTTGAGGAAGCGTGAGTCAAGGAGTTTTAGTTTTGTTCATCTGGTAGTTCTCTTCGTGCTCTATTAATGCCCTGGATGCTTAAGATGTTTCACCGATTTTGTCTGGAGTTTTCATTTTATAAAATTTTGATTGTTCTGCCTATGTTTTCAATATTTTGTGTGCCATGGGATTGCTCTCTTCTCTTTTTTGCTACAAGCACCGATGCCATTGTTACCAAATCCTGAACATTGCTGGATAGTTTGGAGTCATAAACCATGGAACGGAGTCCAAAACTATTTACAGGATAGGAAGTGCAAAATGGAAGAAATTTCTGAAATTAAAAAGTTGACCTTGGAGGTTGAAATTGAAAAATAAAAACAAAGAGCCAAAAAAAAGAGGCAAGTGAGAAAATAATAAAAATGTCACATGAAAGCAGCTAAAGAAATTGAAAATTTTTACTGACACGCCACTTCTACTAATGAAGACACCAAACTAGAAGATAAGTCACCAAGTAGCACTGGTTTTCTTGCTGTGCTCTTGAAATAAGGGGGGAGTAGGTTTGGACATCATTGACAATGATTTATCACTGTGCTGCATGAGAGTGGATGCTTTAGATTTATGAAATTATTCATGTGAAGAATCTACGTTGAGGATCATTGCTCTCTATTCTTTCTCATAATTATTTGGTACAAACACCAAACTAGAAGATGAAGTCACCAAGCAACATTGGTTTTCTTGCTGTACTCTTGAAATGAGGGGGGAGTAGATTTGTACGTCATTGACTGATTTATTGTTGTGCTGCATGAGAGTGGATGCTTTAGATGTATGAAATTATTCATGTTAAGAATCTACGTGGAGGATCATTGCTTTCTTTTTCTCCTCATAATTGTTCATGCAAAGGACCTGATTCGAATAAAAGCTACGCCTCAACTCTAAAGATAAAATATAACATTTTCATGAGGGCAGTGGTGGTTACGTATGCTTATCAAAACAGCGAGCATTCACAGAGAGATTACCATCCAAAGAGGGTCAAATACAGAGGTTAAAGTCGAAGAGAGCCAAAGCAGCTTTGTAGCATTCACAGAGAGATTACCATCCAAAGAGGGTCAAATACAGGGGTTCACGTCGAAGAGAGCCAAAGCAGCTTTCTCAAAAAGAGACATTACCATCGAAAGAGGCTCAAATTGAGAGGTTATTATCCAAAGAGAGCCAAAGCAGCTTTCTCAAATAGAGACATTACCATCGTCAAAAAAGCAATCTCAAATGCTTTTCAAAAACAGAGAGCACCCGTAGAGAGACATTACCGTCCAAGAGAGCCAAAGAAGCAAATCTCAAATGCTTTCCAAAACTTTGAGCAGAGACATTGACATCCAAAGAGGGTCAAAGAAGGAATCTCAACTGCATAGTAGTAATGGCCCTGCTATTCAAATCAAACAATTCCAGAGCACGCACTTGTTTACCAGTGTAATTATTAATTTATTAAAAGAAGAAACATAAAGGAGCTAAAATAGAAATATAAAATATTCCAATTCAACTACCATATCTCCTGAATAAGAAGTAGGAAACATCTTTACGGGAGACGGTGCAACTTTAAAACACAAAAAAAAAACCTAAACCAAATGGAAAGTGATCGGACGAATAGCAAAAGGAAGGTAAACGTCACCAATTTTCAAGAACACCAACCTCGAAAAGGAACACATGTTATAAATAGATTACTATACATTTTCTCTAGCTGCACAATGTGTGAAATCTTGGAAGAAAAAAAACAGAACAAAGGATAAAAGTCAAATTTGGAGGTGGTTCGAACAGTTCGCTGGATATCTTTGATGTTCCTCTCAAGGAGAACACAGTGGAGTTTCTTTGGCACGATCCCTCTATATCTAGTGGAACCTATAGTGGTGCCTTTTACTATAACAACTAACCTTAATCCATTTTATAGCGTTTTTCTCTATTGCTGTCATTTCATTTATTCCAGTCTTGAATAATAATGTAAAGTAATATCAACTTGTAAGGGACTTGTATTTATAATATTGGCTCATCCAGTCATGTCGTCGATTTTTGACTAACATGGAATTAAGAAAGTAAGAGGAGATGATTCTGTATGCTTGTCCAGTCATTTCTAATGATCTTGAAGAGGGGGACACTTTCCACCCGCGAATAAATTATGTATCTGGTGTCTCCGCTGACACTTCCCACAACGATGTTGTAGGTCTACTTCATTGCTAGTAGTTTTCACTTCCTTTATATGTTGCCATTCGAGCGCTCTTCTTTATCCATCATGGCCTGCATAATGAAGCTTTACAAAGCTTTGAAGGATGCGGCAATTAGCCATCAAATCCTGTTGGCAATGATTTTCATACAGTTTGGTTTTGCAGGGATGACCTTAATATCAAAGGCAGCACTAAATGCTGGGATGAACCCTTTAGTGTTCAATGCCTATCGGCAAATGATTGCCACACTTGTGTTGGCACTCCTTGTTCTCTTGATGGAGAGGTTGGTGCTGTTATTCTCATTTCTATCTTGATCATTTCACGTTGTTTTGCTTTCATGTTTGGCTTGACTTCAAGTACAATGATTCCTACATGTTTTTCATTCACTGGCAAGCGGTAAAACGGGGTGGATGAACTAACACTCTCTATCACTTTATCCCTGTAGGAAGAAGAGCGGATCGATGTCATTCAGCCTCTTCTGCAAGATTTTTGTAGCTGCTTTATTAGGGTTAGTTGATGTATCGACAGCTTTTTCAATATAGAGCTGTTTAATTACACTTTTAACTTTTGTTTGACAGGGTTAAACTACTTTCAAATTCCTAACTAAATGGTGTCTTTTGTTAATAAAACAATTTGGAATCATCTTCATGAGTGAAGCTAGATTAATTTTTATGTGTCTGACTGATGAAAACGTAGGCCAACATTGAGCTTGGATCTATACTACGTGGCGCTCCATTTAACCTCAGCAACATTTGCAGCTGCTATTCTCAATTCCATTCCAGTTATCACATTTTTCTTAGCTATCATTATGGGGTAAGATGGATGATTTTTCTCTTGCTGAAGAAAAAAAAAAGGAGCCAAAGATAGTTTGCAAAATTATCTGAAAATTTGAAATGGTAGGTTGGAGGCTGTAGGTTGGAGATCATTCTATGGTGGACTCAAGATCCTTGGAATAGTCATAACTGTTGGAGGAGCCATGCTGCTTAGCTTCTACCGAAGACCTACGACGAGACATCCTAACTCGTCAAGTTCTGGCAGCAACAATGGAACATTCTTTGTTAATAAATTGGAGGGTAGAACGAGATCGATCTTAGGACCTGTTCTAATGTTCCTTTCTGCCATAGCTTGGTCAACATGGCTTGTCGTTCAATCAAAATTGCTGGAGCTTTATCCAGCCAGGTTACGCCTCTCCACTCTACAGTGTCTCATCAGTTCTGTGCAATCTAGTATTATAGCTGCAGCCTTGGAGCGAGAACGTAACTCATATAAGATAAGATGGGATATTCAACTTGCTTCCCTTGCATATTGTGTAAGCCTCAGCTTTCCACACACTACTTATTGCCATTACCATCTCACCATCATTAATATTTATATCCTCCTTTTGCAGTTCATATTCAATTTATAACTTGCTTGAACGAATTGCAGGGTGTATTCGTAACTGGGGCTGCATATGGACTCCAAATTTGGTGTATAGAGAAGAAAGGGCCGTTTTACGTTTCCATGTTTTCTCCACTTGCATTGGTTTTAACTGCCATCTTCTCAGCAATTTTTTGGGCTGAACGATTGAACTGGCAAAGGTTTGTTGCTTTCAAGTGAAAGACACAAATAGTAATAATAACCACAATTAAAGTTTTTCTTATTGTGCAGCCTTCTTAGTTTGTATCTTATGTTTTTGGTGTTCTTTCCGCAGTATATTGGGAGCTATTCTGATTGTTGGAGGTCTTTATGGTGTCCTGTGGGGAAGAAGCAAGGCTGAGAAACAAGAAATACATAATGGTGAATCTCCAGCAGAGCAATCTCCAGATATTGAAAAAAACTGACTGTTTTCTGTGCTTGTGTGTTTCTCTCATATATAAATTAGTGTAGCAAGTTATATCTAGTAAATTCCTACTCAGACTGACAATAAATTTCCTTTTCTTAACCTCGAATGTCCTCTTTTTCCTTTCTTCGTTCTGTCTGATAAAAATATTCAGCAGAATGACATTAATTATTCTATCGCAAAGATGGAAAGGAATTGGATGCTTTCAACTCAATTCTTTATTAACCAACCTTTTGTTCCTCCAAAGGAATCACTATCGTTTATGAATGTTGTTTTCCAGGTTGCCAAGAGTGATATTAACCACTGTAGAAATGCAGAGTTAAGAGCATCCAGTCCTAGCAAACATACACAATTTAGACCACATGCATAAAAATTCCCCTGGTATTTTTTTACATGGACAAACTAACAACGGGCTGATGAAGAGCCTTACAAAATATTTTGTGAATTTCATGTCAACTAACCATAACCAATCGACAAGGAGCCAATTGGGTACTTGAAGAATAAAGACATAAAGTTGCTCCATGTAGACATTAGAATTGAAGAATAAACAAGTTGAACTATTAATCTTGAACAGAACATGTTCGTGTCACAAAATAATCTTAATATATATTTTTCAGATAGTGGCCATAGAATTCTCTGAATTCTATTAATCGGCAGAAAATGTGGATATGGAAAAGGCAAAAGCATCTTCAGAGATAGCTGGCTACTGGTTCTTTAAGCATGCTCTTTCAGTAATAGTGGGGCATCCTTCTTATCTAGCATGTTGCTACACTGATTGTGAATTCCACTAACTAAAGAAAGAGGTGTCATTCTTCCACGGAAAACAGAGAATTTATTATTGAAGAAGTGGCTGAGATTGATCCTTTGTTACTATTTAAAGGGAAAAATGATGAACTGTTTTCTCTTCCATTGCAGTGGAAGCAATTCATAACCATGCAAGCCTGTGCTCCATATGCAGCGATGTTACTAGTTCAATTCGCTTATGGAGGATCTAATATCCTCATGAAAATTGCTCTTGAGAAGGGACTCAATCAAATAGTATTTGTGGTTTACCGTCATGTCATTGCAGTGATTTTGTTGGGCCCTTTTGCTTACGTAATTGAAAGGTAAACAAATAACATTGTCGATGCATGTATTTGTGGGAAATTAAGTTTTTTGATGCCTAGATGTACTTTAAAGCATATAACATAAGTACTAACAGAAAGGCTTAAGACATCATGGATTCCTAAGGAGAATATGAGAAAAATTGTAATTTTTGGAATGTATTTTGCAAAGCAGGAAGCAGCGCCCTTTGCTTTCATTGTCAGTGATCATAAAGATTTTTCTGCTTTCATCACTAGGAACTACTATCCATCTTAATGTTTACTATGCTGGTTTAGCATACACTTCTCCGACAGTTGCAAGCGCGTTGAGTAATGTTATCCCGAGTTTGACATTCATCATGGCAGTTTTACTCGGGTATGTATGTGCTCAACTGACCTTATAATGATTCAATTTAAGTTCACCAGATCAAATTTATTGATCTGCTTCCATCTTTCTCAGGATGGAGAAAGTGAAGACTGAAAGCCCTAGAGGATGGGCTAAAATGTTGGGCACGGCTATTTGCATAAGTGGCTCACTGGTTTTTACCTTCTGGAAAGGAGGATATCTGTTTAAAAGTTTTGAGAACAGAGCATTGATAAACATCTATAGCACCAAAGGTTCTGCTGGTGAGTACAGGCATGCTAAAGAAAACTGGATTAAAGGTTCTGCACTTATTCTTACTAGTCATTTTGCGTGGAGTGCATGGCTAGTCCTCCAGGTAGTCATTCGTCTGTTTTATTTGAAGTAGATATGTTCATTAAGGTCTTGCTGATAATTCTCACCTGCTCTCTCAGGCTGTAGTTCACAAAGTCTATCCAGCTCGTTTATCGCTGAACACTTTGATTTGCTTCTTCGCATCAATCCAATCTTCTTTTCTTGCGCTGTTTTTTGCAAGAACTCCTGCAATATGGAAGCTGGACTGGAATGTGCAGCTCCTGACCATTATATACAGTGTGAGGTTTCTGAAATAACTATCTAACTTTGAGACTGCTAAATTGCTTGTTACTTACGTATATTATGTTTATAGGGAGCTGTGATCTCAGCGTTAGGCTACTACCTGCAAACCTGGTGTATTAGTCACAAGGGGCCAGTTTTTGTAGCTATGTTTAGTCCACTACTAGTTGTCATTGTTGGACTATTCTCAGCATTTGCATTTGCAGAGAGACTTCATTTGGGCAGGTGAGCTATTCAATTCTAAAGTTTCTCCACTCTTCTCGTTCATCAGTTAGTTACAGGTTGCCATTTCAAAACAATTCAAGCTGTCCATTCTTATTTATCAGTACCATTATTTGGCATTTCCCAGCTTGATAGGAACAGGTATCATTGTAGTGGGTCTCTACTGTGTACTGTGGGGTAAAAGGCAAGACAATAGCGCTGCTCAGAAGCCTGATGAAGGAAGAGGAGGCTTGGCTGACGGTAAATCATTGGAAATTTCCATAAATGACTACCCATTGACAAATCCTGACCCAAGCGGAAGGAAGTGAAGTTTCAGACTTACCTAGACTAATTCAAATGCAAGACCATCATCAATTATCAAAGTGGCTTTTGAAGTCTCAGTGGTGTATTGTATTTGAATAAACTTAACCAAGCACACTTCTTTTCTACTCATCAACAAACAATGATAAATGGGATGTCTTGGTAATTGCTGACAAAGGATCCACCAAATACAATTACTAGTTAGTGGGAGTTAATGCCGAGGCATCGTCCGTTTGCCTAGTAATAGTAATGTTGTGAGGAATGGACTATTTCGTTTCTCTGTACTGGGTGGTATTCTTATTGATGGAGGTCTTTATGGTATCCTGCGGGGAAGAAGCAAGGCTGAGAAACAAGAAATACATAGTAGTTGATCTCCAGCAGAGAAATCTTCCGATATCGAAAAAGACTCTGTTCTCTCTGCTTGTGTTTCTCTGATATATAAAGTGGTGTGGCAAGTTATATCAAGTAAACTGCTTCTCTGACTGACAATGATTTTCTTTTTCTGTTCCTCTGCTGTCAAATTCTCTCTTAACCTCTAATATCAATTTTCCCCCCTTTTCCTTTCTATCTGAAAAAAATATTCTGCAGCATGACATTGATCGGTCCATTGCAAAGATGGAAAGGAATTGGATGCTCTAAACTCATGTCTTTATTAACCAACCTTTTGTTCCCACAAACGAATCATCATAGTTCACGAGTTTTGTTTTCCTAACAAGAATTGCAACAACACATGATTTGTTTTTCAGATATCACCGTAGAATTTATAGTAAAGAGCATCCAATTCTAGCAAACACACAATTTAGACCACATACATCAGAATTCCCCTTCTATTTTCTCACACAGACAAACTAACATTAATAGGCTGATGAAGAACCTCACAAAATATTTTGTGAATTTCATGTCAAGTAACCATAACAAATCGACGAGGAGCTAGTTGGATACGTTGAAGAATAAAGACATAAAGTTGCTCCATGTAGACATCAGAGTTGAAGAATGAACAAGTTGAACTATTATTCCCAGAAAATGATCAGGTTTAATTTTGAACAGAACATGTTCGTGTCACAAAGTACTCTAATATATATATTTTCAGTTTGTGGCCATAGATTTCAGAAGAAATTGTGGATTTGGAAAAGGAAAGGCATTTCAGAGATAGCTGGCTTCTGGTTCGTAAAGCATGCTCTTTCAGTAATAGTGGGGCATCCTTCTTATCTAGCATGTTGCTACACTGATTGTGAATTCCACTAAATTAAGAAAGAGGTGTCATTCTTCCACACGAGACACAGAATTTATTATAGAAGAAGTTGCTGAGATTGATCCTTCGTTACTATTTAAAGGGGAAAATGAAGAACCGTTCTCTCTTCTATTGCAGTGGAAGCAATTCATAACCATGCAAGCCAGTGCTCCATATGCAGCGATGTTACTAGTTCAATTAGCTTATGGAGGATCTAATATCCTCATGGAAATTGCTTTGAGAAGGGACTCTATCAACTAGTATTTGTGGTTCACCGTCATCTCATTGCGATGATTTTTGTGGGCCCTTTTGCTTATATAATTGAAAGGTAAAGAAATATGATTGTGAATTCATGCATTTGTGGAAAATAATTTTTTTTGATGCCTTGTGTACTTTTAAGCATATAACATAAGTAAACTTCTCTCACAGTTGCAGAGTAATGTTATCTCGAGTTTGACATTCATCATGGCAGTTTTACTCTGGTGTGTATGTGCTCAAGTGACCTCATAATGTATCAATTTTGTGTCCACCAGATCAAACTTTATTAATTTGCTGCCATCCCATTCAGGATGGAGAAAGTGAAGACTGGCACTGATAAACATCTATAGCACCAAAGGTTCTGCTGGTGGGTACAGGCATGCTAAAGAAAACTGGATTAAAGGTTCTGCACTTATTCTTAACAGTCATGTTGCGTGGATTGCATGGCTGATTCTCCAGGTAGTCATTCATCTGTTTTATTGGAAGTAGATATTTTCATTAAGATTTTGCTGATAATTCTGACCTTCTCACTCAGGCTGTAGTTTACGAAGTATATCCAGCCAGTTTATCACTAAACAGTTTGATTTGCCATCAATCCAATCTTCTTTTCTTGCGCTGTTTTTGCAAGAAATCCTGCAATATGGAAGTTGGATTGGAATGTGCAGCTCCTGACCACTATATACTATGTAAGAGTTTCTGCAATAGCTATCTAACTTTGACACTGGTCAATTGCTTTTTACTGATGTATTCTGTTACAGGGAGTTGTGAACTCAGCATTGGTCTTCTACCCGCAAACCTGGTGTCTTAGTCACAAGGGGCCAGTTTTTGCAGCTAATGTTTGGTTCACTGCAAGTTGTCATTGCTGTACTATTCTCAGCAATTGCTTTTGCGGAAGCCTGATGAGGGAAAAGGCTTAGCTGATGGTAAAGCATCGGAAACTTCCATAAATGACTACCCAATGACGAATCCCGACACAAGCGAAGGGAAGTGAGGATTCAGACTTACCTGGACCAATTCAAATGCAAGACTGTCAGCAATTATCAAAGTGGCTTTTGAAGTCCCAGTGGTGTCTTGTATTTGAATAAAGTTCACCAAACACACTTTTTTCCTACCCACAGGAAAATAAAGTTTAAATGGAACGTCTTGCTAACTGCTCAAAAAGGACCAGCCAAAAACAATGACTAGTTAGTGGGAGTCAATGTCATCAACGCGCCATCCATTTACCTAGTAATAGTAAGGTTGTGATGAAAGGACTATCTAGTTTCAGTTTTCTACTGTATGACTTGGAATTTTTTCTTTTCTTTTCTTTTCTGAATTGTCAGTTCAGTTTAAAGTAACATCGCATTGCGTTGGTCATATCAGAAAATCCATGCTATCACTTCTAGGTGTCCTCAATATCAATCACAAACAGGTACTTCAAGTCATTATTTACATACTGAATTGGAATCACTTCAATCTTGGGGTAAGTTTTGCCACAGTAAGTTACCAATATTAAGGTTTGCAGGGCTGAATCTGACTTGACTTGGGAACACAACACGAACAAAAACACCAGCAGTCTTCAATTAAGACAGACATGTATGGATCAAAACGGTGATTCCCCGATACTGTGTTGATCATAAAGTACAGTAATATGGATGAGACCTGCATAAAAGATATTAGACATCAAAGCAAAAAAAAAAAAAAGGAAAGAAAGAAAGAAAGAAAGAGAAAGGAATATACTGTGTTGAATAGTGGGGCATCCTTTTAATTATTAAGAATGTTGCTGGAGAGATCGTGTCTTCCACTACCAAAAGAAAGAAATGTCATCCTCCCAATTAACTGCTGAAGTGGTGGCACCAAAGCGAGAGATTATATATATATATATATTCTGATTTTTAGGTTTAAGTTTACCCAGATGTTTGTTTCACTTAGAATAAGTCTACGTAGTTCTGTAATCCCATAGATAAATGAGATTATGGATGTTATGATTCCTTTTCTTTATGATAAAGATCTTGTGATATTGGATTTTGCCTATAAATAAAATTTGAGGGTTGGCAATAACCTCCATGTTCTTGTTCTTGTTCCGCTCCTGGTTCTTTGCTCTTTGATTAAGCTAAGTTCTTGAAATACAATTTAATAACATTTGGTAACTTCCATGTTCTTGTTTTACTCCTGGTTCTTTGTTCCTTGATTAAGCCATTTAACAACATTTAATATCAGAGCCCACCTTTTATCTTTGAAAGGTTGTGAATGAAATAGGAGGGATTAGTAAGGTTTGAAAATGGAAGCTTTAAGCTTTCCACCAAAAACACCAGTTTTCACAATGCAAGATTATGGTGTATGGGTTGTTAAAATGGAGGCTCATCTTATGATCTCTGATTTGTAGGAGAAAGTGATAAGCAACCAACTTCATTAAAAAACAATCCGATAATTGTATAGATAAAGTTCTTTAATAAAGAAAAGAAAAAACTATACAAAGCTCTTACTTGTTTTTATGATGATCTGAGTGAAATAATCTACACAATTACAGCTCGTTAAACTGCAAAATAAGCATGAGATGGGTTAAAAGTTAAATTTCATGGTGAGGAGAAGTCCAAAAAAATATAAATCTTGAATCTTAGAAGACAATTTGAAAGTATGAAGATAAAGGAAATCAAGACTTTTCAAATCAAATTTTTAAGATTGTGAATCAAGTGAGGCTATTAAAAAAGATTTTTCTGATTCCAAGATATGAGAGAAGGTTCTAGTAAGTTTATTAGAAAAATTTAATCATAAAATTAGCTCCATAGAAAACTAAAAAATATTTATCAGAAATAAATCTAAATGCATTATAAATAGTGGAGCAAAAACAAGTCTATCAACAAGAAGGTAAAAGTATAAGAACCCTTGTTGTAATTTTAAAAGAAAAGAGTTAAGATAATAACTGTAATACCCCATATATATATATATATATATATATATATATAATTTGGTACTTGAAAATACGGTTGAACTTTATTTTTTTTTACATTCCCTATATATATAATTTGGTACTTGAAAATACGGTTGAATTTTATTTTTTTTACAATTCTCATATAAAAGTCTACTAAAATTTTCATCAAAATTTTAGCGGAGTTTTTCCTATACCAGGAGGTCCCAAATTATTAATATATACCCTGTTTAACTTTTAATATCTTACATCTCATAACTTAATCATAACCCAATTGTCATGGGTCTCAATCCTATAAACATCATCATCATCACAACCATAATATTTATAATATACTTTGAAATAACAAATATCATTATAGAGGAATAAATGAGATAAACACGCATACATGAAACATGATTATATGAATTTAAGAGTTAAGTTCATTTATTCAAGTTTAAACATCAATTATATAAATTAAGTTATATAAATATTTTAATATTTTAAAATACAAAGATATACTTGCTAGAACTACATAACAAAAAAGTGAACAAAAACTAGGATTTACTCTTATCGTGCACGCGATGGTCCTGAAACAAAATACATATTATTAAACATGAACATCACAAAAAATATAGTAACATAAATATCCAACAATTTAAAAAAGACAAACATGTATTTATATTCTATTCACTTCTCTATTTTTTTTATTGGAACTCTTTCTTATTCAATAACTAAAACTGTTTCATCTTCCATTTTCAACTTTTATTTAAAATTCTATAAGATTAACCATAACTATTTCTGCCTAACTCATTGTTAATACCAATTTCACTGGTATCATCATCACCTCATAGGCATCGATGCTTAGCGGTCCCTTTACCCGAAATCCTAATATACATTAAATGGATGCTAGTCGATACATGTTAATCCTCTTACCTATAATCCTAACATACACTAAATGTGTGCTAGTTCATACCTCAGAGGCATCGATGCATGATGATTCCTTTACCAAGGATCCTAACATTTACTAAATATATGCTAGTTCATGCATGGTGATCCCCTTACTCGGAATCCTAACATACACTAAATGTATGTTAGTCCATGTCATATAGGCATTGATGCATGGTGATCCCCTTATATAAGAGCCTAACATATACTAAATGTATGATAATCCATGCATGGCGATCCCCTTACCCAAGATCCTAACATACACTTACTATATACTAGTCTATGCCAATTTCATCAATCAATATTGTCATTCTTTGTCCAACCATAGTTATCATTATAAATTTTCATGTCAAATATAGCTCGTTTTGTTTCGAAGTTAGGATATGATATCACATGTTCCTCGAAGGAAAAGGACCCAAATTTTCACCCTTTAACACGTTTAAATAGTTGCTTTAATAATTTTTTGAATTTGCTAGCAGAGGTTGTATTCCAACCTCTCCTCAGATTATTGACTATATCTGAAGTTTTAGAACTCTGTTTCAAGCAAGGTTGGTCTTCTCAAAAAATTAATACACAGGGCTACAAGTCTCATGAAGGGAGGAGAATCCAATTCTACCCCTAAGACACTTGAAATTATTCATCAACAAATTAGACCTATTGTCCTATAGGGTCTGTCATGACCTGGTCTCGGTTAGTGACTCATAATTGGAGTTTTATATCTCCAAATTAAGTAAGACCACTTGTTTTAGATAGTTAACATCCAAAATTACAATTATTCTAAGGAATGTAATCCTAATTTCTTCATCCTCTTACTCAAATTCTCTCCACAAGTCAGGAGATGAATCTGTTAAGATTCATCAACCTTTCCATTTACACACAACATCCATAATTCAACATTTTCTCTTTATCTCAACCCCTAATCATATCACATGCCGTATAAAAGTGTCAAAAATATTTTTTTAAGAGCCAATTTATCCTAACTAATTGATCTATACCGTTGTACGTGAGGTACTCTTATTCATTCCAATAATATCATCACAAGTTTGATACAAATCAATATACCTAAAACACTCATATCCATTCCAGTTATATCATAACTAATACACATCAATGTATTCATGGTATTCATATTCATTCTAATATTTATCAAATTAATAAAATAATAAATTCTTAAATTTATCAACGAGTTTACACAAATTAAAAACACAAGGTGTAATGCACCTACCTGTTTCCCCTATCAATTAAGTCCCTTCAACTCCTGACG